GCCCCTAACCCACTCACATTCTGTCTCTCTCAAAAATAAATAAACATGAAAAAAATATTTGTAAGTAAATAAACATTTTTAAAAATTAAAAAGAAAAACATGCCTACTTGCAGAAGGCATGTAATGTTCTAAATACCCCTGCATTAGTAAATCAGGGATAAAAGAAACTCACGTAACAAAAGAATTCAACAAGCTGTCAGGATATAATATCAACACCCAAAAAACAAGCACCTTCATATACACAAATAACCAGTTAAACAAATAACAGAGGAAATCCAGTAGCAACCAAAAAAATACAACACTTAGAAATAAACAAGAGCCTGGGCAGGTCAAACAAGTTCATCAACCGGCTCAGGTCATGATCTCAGAGTCCATGGTTCAAGGCCCGCCGATGAGATGCCCAGTGCGGACAGCTCAAATGCTTTGGTTCGCATCTCCTCCCCTCTCTGTGCCTCCCCTCTCGCCCTCTGTCTGTCTGTCTCTCTCTCTCAAAAAATAAAAACAAACACAAAATTTTTTTAAAAAAAGAAACAAGAAATGTGAAGAATCTCCACTGAGAAAATGATGACACTGCTCCTTAAAGATGCAAAATTAGGCGTGAACAAATGGAAATAAGATGCCTTAAGATCACCCAGCTATCAGTCTTCCCTGTTAATGCAACAATTCAATGGTATTCCAAAAAATAACAGCAAATCTTCTTTTCCTGGAGATAGACAAGATGACCTTGAAGCCCACAGAGAAAGATAAAATGCGATAGCCAGGAAACACTAAAAAGGAAAATATATGGGGAGCAGGGATGGGGAGGATAGGGGACCTTCGAGCAGAGATACAGCAAACCACACGGATTCTCTAATTAAGTCTGTGGCACTGGTACATAAATAAATATGGGCAGCCCAATGACGGAGCTTGGGAAGGCAGGAATAGACTCCAGGCCCCGGAAGGCCTTTTCTGTAAGGATGGCTCTGTCATTGGAGTTAGGGTCTAAACTGGCGATCTGATCTGAAGATCTTGCCTTAATTACAGCTGCAAAGACCCTTTTCAAATAAGGTCACCCTCACAGGTACCCGGAGTTAGGACTTGGGCGTAGCTTTTTGGAACCACTATTCAACCCAGGACATGTAACAAATATACAGATTTGCTTTTGATCCAGAAATTCTAGGGATTTAACCATAAGACAAATCTCACAATTTTAAAATAATCTGCACAAGGTTATTGATGGGAGCATATTTGTAATTGCAAGATATTGGAAACTACTCAAATGCCCAAACATAGGGAGTTGGTTGAATAAACAATAGAGTAAGCGATAAACAATAAACTATGAAGTTGTAAAAACTATATAAAATAATGAGGACTTCTAGAAATTGAGTTGGTGAGGAAGAAAAAAAAGAAATAAGGAAACACGTCCCCGTCTGCAAGGGATGGGGGCTCGGGCACAGAAGGAGTCGAGAGGATGACCCTTCCTCTCCGGGGACCTTCTTACATGATTTAGACTACTGGAATAATGTTAATGTTCTATATATTCAAAAATAAAATAAGGCCAAGTGAGCAACACGAGGAAAGCCCTAAAAGCCAATGAAAAGAAAAACAAATGAATTCAGGCGATCGCAAACAGAGAACATAATCACACTGAAGGTGAGAAAAAGGATTCAGCCCGAACTTCCAAAGTACAAACACAGAACTTGGACAATATACCCCCGGTTTTGAAGAATAAAAGGGACACATCTTGAAGCCTTCTTTCCACGCTTGTTTTTTCAAAGTGGAGCTGGTATAGCAAATATAACATACGTGTATGTTTTGTAGGGTTAAGCAAGAAGAAAGGTGCACATATGGAATGGGGAAGCAGAAAAGAATCCTTGTGGGCTAGGGTGTGAATTGGACGTATAAACTCATGGTTTTGTCGTTTCTAACATCTCTACGTATACCTGGGACAATTGAATATCTAACTAAATACACATGAATACATCTCCATATATGGGACCAGTAATGTATGAAAATGCATGGAATAAAACTGAGCCAAGAATCTATCCTCAGAATGTTAATAAATATGAAAGGAATAGAGGATTAGACTACCATCCTAAATAACGATTCGGGCAAGAACGTTCAATGGATACACATCTGGGGCAGGAGGAGTTTGGCTAAAAGCAGGACATTTAAATGTGGAAAGTATCTCCTCACAAATCACTTATTGCAGAAGGAGACACGGTAGGTAGATATTGGGAGAAGTGGACATCACCTCAACAAGTTACAAAATAAACATGGCCGGAAGCCTGGTGGCTCAGTCGCTAAGCTAGCGTCCGACTTTGGCTCAGGTCATGATCTCGTGGTTCGTGTGGGTTCGAGCCCCGCTGTCAGGGCTCTGTGCTGACAACTCAGAGCCTGGAGCCTGCCGATTCTGTGTCTCCTCCTCTGCCCCTCCCCCATGCTCTGTCTTCTCTCTTCTCTGTCAAAAATAAATAAACATTAAAAAAATTTTTTTAAATAAAAATAAAAAGTAAACATGGCCAATTAGGGCCTTACAGACAGCAGGTGCCTCTGGATGTGATATTCTGAAAAGGACCCAACATTTTTTTATATATTCCTGCCCCCAAAAATGTATCATCAGAGGCCGACGAGGGGCTCCATGAGACCAACCCAAATTGGGAACCAGGAAAATAGCCGAACTGAGCCTTTCAAATGTCAACATAATGAAAGGCACGGGAGAGCTGAGGAACACTGCCCCAGATTCAAGGAGACCGAGACTACACGGGCGATAAAGCAGACAGCCCTTGATGGGCTCCCGCACTGAAAACAAAAAATCTCACAAAGGACGTTGGGGGGCACCCGATGAAACTGGAGTATGATGGCAGCTTCAGGTACTGTAACAATATTAATGTTGTGGAGCTGATCATATTGCCATTTACATTTTAGACAATATGCTCACTCTCCGGGATGCTCTGCATTTCAAATGGTTCAGTATAAGACAGTGGGGTGGGTCACCTGCAGATATAGACATAAGAGAGAAGAGAACTGTAAAAAAAGCGTCCGGAAAAGGTCTAAATCAGTGATTCTGGGTGAGGGGTTACAGAAGGCCGTGTAGCCATTCTTGCAGTAAGTTTGAAATTACTACAATAATTGTTTAAGTTAAAAACTGAAATAAATAAGTAACTGCCAGCAACATAACCGAAATATAACCAGACAGGTCACAGTCAAGGACAGGTGCGTGCCCACATACGTGGTATGTGTGTGTGCAGGGTGGGGGGTGGAGGGGCCAGAATCACGGTGAGCACCTAGAAGTATCCTACTTTTAGGCAGTCTAGCTCCCGACTCCCCAGCCCAGAGTCCTGCCCTGTGTCCCCGGTCCTGGGTGCCGGAAGGCTGGACCAGAAGCCATCCCCTGGGTGGGGGAACTTCCAGCCGCCCTGGGAGAATGTCTGTGAGGTCCTGGTACCATTTCTCCTGAAGCGAGCTCCCAAGATCTTCTCAAGATCATTCGGGTAACTAGGCAACCATTCCTTCCCAACTCCACCCCACCTTTGCACGTAGCCCTTGGACTCTGGACAGGCTATCAGTCCATCCCTCTGCCAAGGCGGGCCACATAAATCATGCTGACGGTAGTTCCATGGCTGCCAGGCCCTGGGCCAGACTTGCAACAGACATCCCATTTACTCTTAGAACAACCTGACAGTGAAGCCAGTCCTAGGATTCTCCATTCTAAAATGTGTCGCCTGTTAAGCACAGCTGTTAAGATCCTGTGTTTGACTCCAGCCTGACTCCCAAGTTTGTGTGCTTAGAACGAAGCAAACTCCATTCCAAGCTGGACCCACCGCTGGGTTTAGCCAGACGCCTTGGTGAGGGTCACTAGAGCTGACAGGCGTGTGCCGATCTGGGGAAAAAAAGAGGCGTGGGCAGTGGGCTTACTGGCGTCTGCCTGCCTTCCTGGCACAGGACAGGGAGGCTCACGGGCAGGGACGGTGGGAGCTGTTCCAAGCACCCGGGAAGCGGAGAAGGAGGTTGAGGCTCAAACGACAAACAGCACCGAGTGGGGAGGGTTGTCCCCCCGCCTCAAAGCTGGACCTCAGGGTAGCAGCATCCCCATGGAGCACAGACGACTCCAGACACTGCTCCGCATGGCACCCGGGGACTGGGAGCTCTGGGAGCACCTCTGATGGCACATGGGCACCTGCACCCATTTCCATGGTGGCACAGCAGCTGTGGAGTGCGGGCATCTAACACCAGAGACCCCAACAACGGAGACCTCACACGAGGGCAGACGGGTGGTGAGCGGAGAGGCCACGGGCTGGACATCACAGCACAGAGGATGGTTGACAGACTCACGTGACACATCCCTGGGAGAGACCTGGGACTGGAGCTGCCCAGGAGCAGGTGGGGGGTGGGGCTGGTGAAAGCATTGAAGTGTCTGTCCGTGACCTTGACCAGCAAGGACATATTCCACCCCACCCAGCCATCTGCCCTTCTCCCTTCTCCAACTTTGTTCTGGTCCCTCATCAAAAAACTTCTTTTATCTCCATTCACAACCTAAAATCCATTATTTCCAACTCAGAAAATAAATAAGGGCTTCCAGAATCAGATCACTGAAGCCAACTTGATCTTACTTCTCCTGCTCTAGAACTTCAAGCACAATGCTCCCTGGTGCCCTTGCCCCCCAGATCACTGCACTCCAGGAGGAAAAGGATCTTTCTTCCCCCCCCCCCCCCCCCCCCTCTGCTTGCCTGTACTTAGATCCCGCCTCCACTGGGGTCAGTTCAAATCCTACCGCCCGCACACGGTCAGGAGTAGTAGCTTGAGTCCTTCCCGGGCAGAAGGACCATTTTCTTAGTTGACGTGTGTTGCCACAGCAGGGTGAGCCGAGCAACACCTCGCCTTGGGAGACACAGCACTGCCTTTGGAGCCGGAGGTGAGGTTCAAATCCCGAGCTCTGTGCCTTGAACGAGGTTACGGACCTTTCTGAGTATCTGTTTCTGGTGCCCTATAAGAAAACGTTATTTCTCTCCTACTCAAAGGTTCTTTTGATAACGCCAAAGAAAAGGCCCATCTCAAGGAGAGCTTGTTACTTAGTCTCGGGCTGGGGTGACTGCGGTGCTAACAAACTCCTAGTTATCCAGAAGTGGCTCCCACCTGGCTTGCAGCTGCCGGGCTTCTTGGGGCAACGCTGTGGGCCTTGCCTGAGCCATCAGCTTTGCAGGGCTGGGGACAGCCGGGTCCCTCTGCAATCTTGTGAGGCGTCAGCAGCCGGGTGAGGCAGGGCAGACGAGATCTGGAGCAGAAGCAGGACACCAGAAGGCGGATGGGGATGAGGAAAGAAGCGGTGGATAAGCTGGCGGTACCTGCCCTTACCCGATGCTGCGCGGCGTGCTGTCGCAAGGGACTGGGGACGCCTTTCCTACATCATGTTACCCTCCCGAGCCCTGCTCGTGATCTGATCCACGCACAACCACTCACTGCAGCCTCTCACTGCGTTCTGAAGCCTCCTGGTTATGCCAATAACCGGTCTGCCTTGTTTTTTCAGACATTTAGCCCCTGGGTGCCAGGATGAGCTTGCTTTGCTGCTTCTGATCTGGCCCCCTATCTGGCCCTGCGTGGGTGACTTCTTGCCTGAGGGAGCTCAGGAAAGGTGCTACTGTCTCCTCTGAATTTACTCATCACCAGGGACCAGGTCAGCTCTGGCTCCAGTACTGGCAGGAAAGGCCTTGGGGGGGGGGGGGTGCTGCATTTCCTCCTCTGGAAAGTCCAAATCCCGGGCTGCATGACCTCTTGACGTTTATTATTCTGGCTCTAACGTCATCATGCAAGGACTAGCGTGTATCAGAGTTTCCTACCAGCATGGCTCTTCATCGGCACCCCCCTGTGTAATTTTACCAGCGGGAGCCCGTTTTTATAGATCAGAAAACTGGAGCCGAGTGAGGTTGGGAGCTCGTGGCGGTCCACAGCTGGGAAGGAAGCCAAGCTAGAGTGGTAGGCACTGAGTTTGGCCCGCTGGGGCAGCTGGGACTCCTGTCCTTGCCAGCACACAGAGCCTGTTCTGAGCCGCACTTCCTGGGGCCGAGCTCCCTGCCCACCTCCTTGGTTGGTTCTGGGTGCTGCCCTGACATAGTCACAGGCCAGAGGCCATTTGGGCCACACTTTACTGGGCGGCCATGGTCGGGAGGGGGGGTGGGAAGCAAGCCTGGAGCGGCTGAGTTGCATTCCCCAGTGAATATAGTAGGGGCCCTCACGCTCTTCCAGTACACCCCGCTGCCTTCCTTCTAAAGAAAGATCCATCCTGAAATCCTGGCAGGCGTTGTAAGAGCACGGGTGGTCAAGTGCAACACAATGACTTCCACCCTGCCCAAAGCCTCCGTGGACACTTGCTCCAAGTCCGGTTCTCAGACATTTGGCGGCTGAACTCCCACCCCCTGACCGCCAGTCTGCAGGACTTAGCCCCTTCCTCTGCTGCTGCAAGACAAGGCAGATGGAAGGTCAAGGCTGGCTCCTGCTTTAAGCCCAGAAGCCCATCTGCCCCCCCTCTACTTTGACCTCATCGGGCAGTACTTCTCCACAGAGCAGATACTGCCTCAAGGGAATGCTGTGGAATCTGTCAGGGGCTTGGGTTTTCACAAAGATTTGAGGAAGTGCTATTGGCATTTAGTGCACAAGGGTCAGAGGCATGGACCTACTGGACCACTTAGGACCGTCCCTCGCAATGAAGTGACCCAGGTCCCACATGACCAGATGCCCCACTCACTGCCAGTCCCCACGGGTGAATGATGCTCACAGTGTTCCGATGTTTGGTTTTGTATAAAACGCCAGTTTCCCCAATGCTTTCATTCCCACTGGATTTTCCGTGAAGGCAACCACCCCGTAAATCAGAGGAAGGTTTAGATTTTGATTTGGAACTTGACCAAGTCTGACTCACACTGCAGAAAACCCACGGGGGGGACCCGTGGGGCAGGTTCAATCATCTCTGCCCCCCGCCTCCACGTGGTGCCCAGCCCTGGGAGGGGATCCAGATGGCCTCAGGACCCACCATCGCCTTCCTTCACGGGAGGTGCTCAGCCCCAGAGCAGCTCCATCCTGGCCACAAGGTGCTGGAACCTACTAGAGGCCACCTTAGGGTGGAGAAGAAGACGCTCACGTGGGGAGGGGGGTTATGGTCACCCTGGGTTGGAGAAGGAGCTGGGGAACGTGGAAGCCTGTCTCTGTGTCTTTGCACTTGCAGAAACACCACCACCTCCGAGCAGGATGTTAATCAGCAACAGTCCACACTGGGGGCGTGCTTTGGAATAGCAAACATCTGCTGCAAACTAACCTTTTTATGCCTCTTCTCTGAATGAAGGGCCAGCCTTATACCATGGGGCCACTCACTGAAGTAAGAGCCAGTGGATCAAAGGCCTTCAAAGGTCAGCCGGTGAGGTATGGGGAGAGATGTTCTCGTTGGCTCTGGGGACTCCACGGTGAGGGGGGGTGGGTGTCGGGCAGTGCTGAGCCCTCCCCGCTAGACTGAAAAGGGCAGGGGCGGGTCAGGAGGCATGTTACAGACCCAGCGGCCTTCCTTTACGGGACGGTGACCAGAAGAGGCTCTCAAGGCTTGAGATTTCATGCCCACAACACTCACTGGGCAAACTCGAGTCCCTGGCTTTCTTCCCAGGGGACCCTGCTGCCCAGGGAGCTAGCCCGCCTTCCAGGGCTGAAGGGGGGGGGTGCTACTCCAGGCACATCCTGGGCTGAAGTGACAGATGAGGGTGGTTGATTTCTTACCTCTCAGATTCTTGTCTTTTTTTTTTTAATGTCTTTTGAGAGAGACAGAGTGTGGCCGGGAGTAGGGCAGAGAGAGAGAGAGGGAGACACGGAATCCGAGGCTCAGGCTCCTGAGCTGCCAGCCCAGAGCCCGACACGGGGCCTGGACTCGTGAACTGTGAACTGTGAGATCGCTGACCTGAGGCAGACACTTAACCCACCGGGCCACCCAGGCGCCCCACCTCAGGTTCTATTTAGGCTGATGCCTCCCTTGGTATACTTGGAGGCACCCTGGCCTGGAGGAGGAAGGTGCCCCTGCATACATTCTGTTCTGTTCAGTAGACGCCGTGTGAGAGCGTGCACGTGGCCTCCTCCGATTCCTCGCTGCTCTTTGTCAGCAAGGACCCCAGCCCTCAGAACATCCTAAGCATGGTGGCGGACGGGGGAGGTCGCCCCGGTGCCCCTGTGGTCTCTTGCTGACGCAGGGCCGTGCACCAGACAGCGGGGTGGTCAGGGAGACCCCATGAGGGCAGAGGCGGGAGAGGCCCCAGCCCTCTGGAGGCTGAGTCCGCCCAGGCAGCAGGTGTGTAGAAGGAAGTGTCGTTAGGGCAGCAGCTGGTGTGAGAGTGGATCTTGCTCGGGTCCCGGAACCGTGAGGACCGGTGGGAGACCTCCTTGCCTCCGTGTGTGATTGCCGTCGGGCCTGTGGGTGGACGCTGGCCGTGTTTGCCGGCGGGCAAAGAGGCCCGGGAAAGCTGGTCTTCGGGGACTGATTACCGCCTGCGCTGGTCCAAGCCAGCCGGGAAGGCCAGGACTCAGTAGTTGGCGCCGGAAGGGGAGAAGCCGGGCCCCTACTACCTGAGCGGCCGGCTGCTCTGGAGGTGGGGCGGCTTGTGGGAGTTTTCACCTGCCCAAGGAAACGGCTCGCTGCCCGCCGCTTCCCCACGGCTCTCTTCTTCACCAAGGTGGATGAAAGTACAGGCAGTCAAGTCCACGACGTGACAGGGCAGGCGATTGCCTCTCCCAAATTTTCTTAAATTTATCTGCCCTAGGGAGGAAACGCCACCATACTGGTGGGCCTGGGGAAAACGGATGACCACCTAAGCCCTTGAAGGTGGCCACCCGCCGCCCCCCGTGGACACGTGGCCGAAACACGAAGCAAAACCAGGGACTCTGCCCTCGCCCTACAGGCGCTCAGCCCCGCCTCCTTACAAGTGCTCACAAACCCCACTGGTCCAGGGCCCGTGTCCCCGGCGGTGGCGGGCTCCGGAGACCAAGGGCTCGCCGTTAGATCTGTTGTCCGCTCTGAGCCCGGCACTTACTTAAGGTCGTCCCATGTGCCGGGTGCTGTGATGCGTGCACGGGCCAGCCTCAGGGGGTGCAGTCTAGTGAAGAGAGGCAAAGCAATATGTACATTGTAATAGCGCGAGGGAAGAGGAGGGCAGGAGCCATCAGGGCAAAGCTTTTCCACGAAGGCGGAGCGTCAAGCAAACCCCAGAAGATGAAGCGTGACCCTGGATCTCTTCGCTGAGAGAAGGGTCACAGGCAAGTGAAAGTTCTGGGGGGGAGGAGGGTGCTTGGTGGTTCGAGGACCATGAGGGCAGCCAGGGCTACAGCGGCCGGGAGAGGTCAGGGATGAACCAGGGGCCCAGTCGTCCAGGAGCTACGTCACAGGTCCCGGAAGAGTCTCGGGCCTTCCTGGAGGAAGATGGGAAGCCACCGAGGGTCAAGCAGAGGAGCAACGCTGACTTGTGTGCAAGGGTCACGCAAGCTGCTGCCGAGAAAAGACCTCCGGGGCGGGGGTGGGTGGGCGGTGAGGGAGGAAGCAAGAGCTGGTCAGGAGGTCACTGTGACACTTGGGCGTGGGTGGAGCAGGGCACGAGGAGCAGTTAGATCCTGGGACCGGCAGGAAGCTAGAGGTGACGGGGTGTGCCATGCAGCGGATGCGGGCGGGGACAGCGAGAGGAGGCAGAGATGATGGCCAAGTTTTTGGGTAACGGAAGGCTGGATTTACGTTTCCGAAATGGAGAGACCGTGGGAGGACAGGTCTGGGCACACGTTCATAGGTTCAGTGTGAAACGTGTGGATCCAAACTGCCTCAGGGCGCCCGGGGGGCTCCGTCGGTTGAGCGCCCGACCGACTCAGGTCATGATCTCGCGGTTCGTGGGTTCGAGTCCATCGTCAGGCTCTGTGCTGACAGCTCAGAGCCCGAGCCTGCCGGATTCTGTGTCTCCCTCTCTCTGCCCTCCCCGGCGCCTCCTCATCTCTCAAAAATACATAAGCATTACAAAACAATGTTTTGAAGAAAGATCTGTAGATGCCCAGGGGCAGCTGGGGCCGGGAGCTTAGCTGTGGGGGGTCCAGGTGGGAGGCACTTTGGGAGTCACCAGCACATAAACTCAATGAGCAGGGGACCCTGGACCCGGGTGACCCAGGGAGGGGCAGGCTGGCCCAGAGGAGAGTCGGGAGCACAGGAAGCCCCCCCCCCCGCCATGTTTGGCGGAATAAGCTGATCTGCCCACTGGGGCACAAGGCAGGGGATTCCAGAGCGTGCCTTCTGTGTCCGGTCAGGCCTGACCTAGCAGGGTCTCGCCTTCCTTCATTCCTGTCTTCCTCCTTAGCGCTCAGCACAGCCCTCCTTGTGCAATAAGCCAACAAACATTTGAACACACCGAGGTAGAACTCAATCTTCGAGGCAGGTCCCACCGCCTCAGCTACATTCCTGTCTGACAGCCCAGCCCACCTCTCCACGCCCTTCTCATGAGAGAAACGAAGGGATGAAGAGAACACAAGGAGATGAATACCTGCCTAAGCCCCTACTAAGCATCAGACGCTGTTCGAGGACGTAACATAATTTCATTCAATCCTCTGAACAGCCCGGTGAGAGGGGTGTGGGTGTCTTGGGCTATATTTCACAGATTAAGAGCTTGGGACCCTAAGACTAATTTGGTATCAATTGCATGTTCACGCATTTCTCTCTGAGCCACGGAACTTGCCAAACAAAACATTCTGAAAGGAAAACGCCGATACATAAAGGAGGAGAATCGGAGATTCTCTGGCTAAAGGTGGGTAGCAGAGTTGAAGTTTCCTTCCACGGCCCTCCTACGGTCGTCCATCCCTACTCCTAAGACTTCTGGAATCTGGGCCCTGCAGAATCCAGACGCTTGCCAGCCACCATCCTGGAGTCTGCAGGATGGCTGAGGGCAGCTACTCGGTTGTTGGTCCGAGCTGTCTCTGCAACACAGAAGTGGACGCAAAGCGTGTCATTCTCTGCTGAAGCCAGTGGGCGTCACCCGGCGGGAAATAAAGCAGGAAGCGGGCTGGCTGAGGCTGAAGGCGATCTGCGTTGCTAAGTCCCATCTCTTCTCTGGGCTGGACAGAATGGAATGAGCCACGTGTACAGTCAACCGAGAGACACTCCAGGGATGGAAACAATCTGAGGAAGGAAGAGAGAAATCGTGACCTTTTGTGTTCAGAGTCTCTGGCTTTTCGTCTACATTTTGCTATGCTAAATTGCATCGTAGCACAGAAACATGGAAGTTTTCTTCCCAAAGTTCCAGCTAGATCAGAAGTAGGAGATGGGAAGCCTGGATGGCTCAGTCGTTGCTGGGCGACTGACTTGACTCACGTCACCATCTGCGTGGTTGGGTGGTTCGAGCCCTGCGTGAGGGCTCTGTATGACAGCTCAGAGCCTGGAGCCTGTTTCATAGATTCTGTGTCTCCTGTCCTGCCCATCCCCTTGTGCTCTGTCTCTTTCTGTCTCTGAATGAATGAATGAATGAATGAATGAATGAATGTATCTTGAAGCGCCTGGGTAGGCATGAGTCGGTTAAGCGTCCGACTTCAGCCAGGTCACGATCTCTGGCCGTCCGTGAGTTGAGCCCCGCCTCAGGCTATGTGCTGACAGCTCAGAGCCTGGGGCCTGCTTCAGATTCTGTGTCCCTCTCTCTGCCCTCCTCGCTCAGGTGTGCTCGGTCTCTCTTTCTCTCTCAAAATAAACATTAAAAAATAAATAAAAAGTAGGAGATGTATGAACTGCTTGAGCAGATGGTAATTGGAAGAATCTTCCAACTCCAGGCTGACCTATGTGACCTCTCCGTTGCTTCCAGAAACTGAAAGTATCCAAGGTAAGTCAAGATGCTTCATTAGGCCCAGTCCCTAAGTATGGTAAAACCAACAAATATTTTTGCACTGTTTAACATCGATTAAATGCCACGCTGCAGGAGAAAATTAGATTTAAATTACACAAACTGAACAGCAGCATCCGTTGGATATTTTGGTCATTTTGAGCTACTTTAATTAAAACATTTAACTAATTTAATTTCTCTTATGTGGATTTCCCCTCTTCACATCCCAGCTCAAGATTTCCCTGAAATGAACTGGGTCACAGACTCATTAAAATTGCATGGAGTGACACCACTTTCAAGATGAAAGAATCCCAGAGGTCACCTGACCCCAATTCCCTTGGGAAGTGCCCTCTAGAATATCCCTATGTGGGTGTACAAAATAGCGATAAATATTGTCTGTTTTCTTCTTTCGATGCTTCAATGACAGAGAACTCACTAATTCTTTGAAAAGCAGCTCAATCCACAAATGGCTAACATTGTTTTGTTATACCCCCATAATCCCCTGCTCCTCCCTATAACTCATGCTCTTTGGCCTCAGTTCTGACTTAAGCTACTACGAGCAGGGCAGTCCTCTTCACACGGAGCCCTCCTGGTTGGAGGGGGGCTGTTGTTCAGAGGGGTGGTGCATCGCGGGTAACCGGTTAGCATTCCTGGCTGGCGGTGTCACTAATGCCAGCAGTAACCCCGCTTGTTATCTAACCAGGAAAACGTTCTGCCATCTCCAAATGGCAGCATCCCACGTCCCTCTGGTCCTTGTCTGAGAGTCTGATTCGTACTCTCCCATACAACTGCAGTTTCCAATTCATGGGAGATTTAAAGGCACCTGGGCGGCTCAGTAGGTTAAGCATCAACTCTTGATTCGCTCAGGTCATGGTGTCACGGTTTAGAGATCGAGACCGAGTCAGGCTCTGTGCCGACAGCGCGGGAGCTGCTGGGGATTCTCTCTTTCCTTCTCTCTCTGCCTCCTCCCCCCACCCCACTTGTGCTTTCTCTCCCCACCCCACTGCCTCTTCAAAATAAACTTTTTTTTTTTAAAGAAAACGCACTTGCCAGTGACCCATAAGCAGGGCTAACCATGGCCTGCAATCAGGCATTACCGTCTCAGGAAAATAAGACAAATAAATACGACCACCCTGCAGACTAGCACCTCAAAGAACTTCTGCTGTAAACACATTTAAAAAATGAAGACGTGTGCTGTTTTACAGTTTAAATCGCAAGCCATTAAATATTCTCTCCTGTTTACTCTGGAAAGTAAATTTTCAATTCAAGAAATTAGAGAATCTCTGGGTTAACCACAGCTGTCTTCACTATCTACCTTATAGAAGTTATTAAATAGGTACATCATTTCCATCACAGGAGGTTTCTGGACAAAAGGGCCTCCCAAACATGGTGGCAGGCAGAGGAGTACAGACAACCGGAGGGACCCCAGAGACAGCCGGGCTGCACCAGGTGCCGGGAAGCTTCTACAGAAGAGTAACCACGCCCCTGCCCCGCTTGCCTGCCGAAGGAAGGTCAAAGTATCCCGCTGGTCCCAGGCAGCTTGAAAACCTTCTTGAGGGGAGGTATCAGTCAGCTCAAGAGTCAGCAGCACAAAGTACATGCTCTCAACTATTTGTGTATTTGATGCATGTGTGCATGAACTGGCTGGGCAGAGTCCCCTGGGTGCACACCCAATGTACCTCACTGTGGGGTCCCTGGGGTCTCCGGCATGGTCTCGGTGTTTGGCTTTCTAGGCCAATCCTGGTACCGCCTCAGACGTTCCTCTTGGCACAGATGAGCCCTGTACCATTAAACCCGTGGGTGGGACCAGCAAAAAATGTCAGGAATAACCAGCTCCTTCCCTCCCACTGCCACACAAGTGGTCTCCCCACATCATTTGCTTTTTCCAGGTTTACAAAGAGCTGGGATTGAAGTTGATGAAAAGGAGCTGAGGCAGTGATGGAAACCCTGTTAGAAACGACTGCTGATTCCATGCCTCATTATCCGAATAGACCAGCCACGTCATTTCATGACCTATGAAGAAACCTCTGGAATGCTTCTATTTCGGGGCAGGGTGGTGAACCCAGCTCTCCTTACATTTTCAGACACGTGTGAGTACACGGTGCTCCAGGAGACGCCCGGACCCGAGGTAGCTGAACCCACATGGGTTATTGGCACCTGGCGGCAGAAGAGAGTGTCCCCCCTCGTCTCTGCTGGTCTGAGCCATCCTCTCAGATAAATCCGACTATTAAATTCACTGATTTGAGATGTCTGGACAGTCCGTCTGGTATTTTTTTAAAGCTGTTTCTCAGAGCTTTGTTATGGACTCAAGACGGGTTTGGTAGAGTATCTTTACCTTTCATTGTGACTCAATATCAGGACTTTGAAAAATGGTACATCGAACACTATTTCAAGACGAAGCCTTTGGGAGGAAGACACATTTTCCATGAGTCATGTGCTTCGCTCCTTTACTTCCCTCTCGAGCCAGCGTTTAATCTGTCATAGAATCATTTCTTTAAAAGGACGAAGCTGAGAAAAAACAGCTGCAGTCGTCCTGACCACAGCACTGGCCTCAGCGCCCTGGCTACTCCATGGTGCATCCGATCATTTGACAGAGCATTCAGTGAGACACAGATCGAGTTCACCTTCATTTCACGTAGGGAAGAAATGCGGAACAGAGACACGGGCATGGGCCATGATGACATTCACAAGCCCAGGCACTTTTGCCCCTTCGTGGCAAAAAAAATCTCACCTCCAAGGAAGGGCGCCTGGGTGGCTGAAGGTTAAGCATCCAACTCTTGGTTTTGGGCTCAGGTCATGATCTCACAGCTTGTGGATTGAGCCCGGGTGGAGCTCTGCACTGACAGCATAGAACCTGCATGGAATTCTCTAGAACCTGCATGGAATTCTCTCTCTCCCTCTCCCTGCCTCCCACCTGCCTGCTCACATGCTCACGCTCTCTCTGTAAAACAGATAATAAACATTAAAAAAAAGATCTCATCTCCAAGAAAGGAAAGCCCTTGCCCAAGGTCACCCACGTGGTGGGGCAGCCAGAGCCCTGTCTATGTTGACCCCTAACCCTGGCTCATTTCATTCTTTTCTGCTTTCTACCTAAATCATCGATCTGAGTATTCAACTAAACAGGCAGCATGCATTCATTCTCGTCGGGACCCATTTTGCTTAAACAGAACATAAGCATGGGCTTTGTCACAAAGTTAAAAGGAAAATAGCAAATACTGCCCCTCCCCCCCCCCATTTTCTTAGTCATTTTCTGTTGCAGAGACAAGATATTTTAGAGCAAATTCAGAGAACCATGGATAGACCCATGGCGAATCTCTGGAATATTCAATGTGTCGACTAAATGCCTAATTGGATTTCCATCTGTTTGCTACCCAGTGTTGAAATATACCTAAAATTAATTTATTGTTTAGTCCTCTATATTAGTCCATAAATATAAATCAGAGTAACGTGAATTGTACTTAGGTCATACTATCAAGCAGCAGTCTAAAGACAGACTTTTTTGTCATTCTAAAATCTGCAGGTTACTTCATTCCTACATTCTTTCCAAAGCTGGGTGACACTTGGTAAATGGCCAGGCAATTCTAGGACCCAGAATGAGGCAAAAAATAAGAGGACTAACTCCAACTGATATTCTTAACTGACTCGCTAGTATTCTGTCATTCAAGTGTTTGTAGAAAAAATAGTGGAAAGAGATATAAAGGGAGTTAAAATGACTCTCCTTTTAAGAGAGAGGATACCTAGAAAAGAAAGTCCATGAGAACATAATAGCCTCTGAAATAAATAGGGCCAAACCCAGTTACTGAAAGCTTCATTATTGAAGGACTCCTATAACATGCAGCTCAAACTCCCCCCTCCTCTCCCCATATGTGTTGAAAACAGAACAGCATAATAATTATATCTAACACATTACCCTTAGAAGCAGAAAAATGGCCTATTCCTTACTCCTCCATAAAACTTTTTTTTTTTTTTTAAATAATCCTGCCACATATGCTTTAAGAAATTCCTAAGACACTAGAGGTTTCAGCTTTTCCAAGGATCTATGCCTGGTGAAAAAATGCAGACCAATGAAAAATGCAATAGATCTTACAAAAAAAATTTCCGCGGTTTCAGCAATGGGGAGGAAGAAATCTGAACATTGTAACAAGGCTTCACTATATTTTGAGTTGTCAGGTTTAAAACTGTTCCCAGCACAGACACATATACACACACTCACCCACATTCACACGCAGCTGGTAACAGAACAGATTACTGAATTGATCCAATTCACTTTATCTTGACTGCAAACTCCTACTCAAGCTGAAGAGTCTGTTCTCCTTCAGTTTGAGTATTTTCACATACCACGACCGCAGGGCAAATGGACCCATCCTTCCACAGGAAGATGTCTGAACTCAGGCAGTCAAACAATGGAAATGATTTTCAAATGTGTATGAGGTTACAGAAGAACAACTCTCTGTGTCCTCTCTAATAAGTAAACTCCTTTTCAGCCCAATCTCCATTTCTGCCAGCTAAACCGAGTTCTATGGGTCTGATATTTCACTTGTAATGTTAACTAGTGAAATTTAAAAAAATTTTTTTTTTTCTCAACGTTTATTTATTTTTGGGACAGAGAGACAGAGCATGAGCGGGGAGGGCAGAGAGAGGGAGACACAGAATGGGAAACAGGCTCCAGGCTCGAGCCATCAGCCCAGAGCCTGACGCTGGGCTCGGAGACCAGACGAACTCACGGACGCGAGATAGTGACCTGGCTGGTTGAAGTCGCGGACGCTTAACCGACTGCGCCACCCAGGCGCTAACTAGTGAAATTTTAGAACCTGTCCTTAAGAATGCAAGTTTCTGGGTGGCTTAGCCTGGGTAGGTCGGGTGCAGGTTAGTGTCGACTTGGCTCAGGTCATGATCTCACAGTTCGTGGGTTCAAGCCCCGTGTCGGGCTCTGTGCTGACAGCTCAGAGCCTGGAACCTATTTCAGATTCTGTGTCTCCCTCTGTCTCTGCCCCTTCCCTGTTCACGCTCTCTCTCTGTCTCAAGAACAAATAAACATTAAAAAAAATTTTTTTTTAAAAAGAATGCAAGTTTCGGGGCGCCTGGGTGGCGCAGTCGGTTAAGCGTCCGACTTCAGCCAGGTCACGATCTCGCTGGTCCGTGGTGAGTTCAGCCCGCATCGGGCTCTGGGCTGATGGCTCAGAGCCTGGAGCCTGTTTCCGATTCTGTGTCTCCCTCTCTCTCTGCCCTTCCCCCGTTCATGCTCTGTCTCTCTCTGTCCCAAAAATAAACGTTGAAAAAAAAAAAAAAAAAAGAATGCAAGTTTCTATAATTAAGAAGACAAGGGGGCCAGCCATCTCTGTATCACTACAGCTCCAGATGTCATACAACTGGTTTAAAAGATCTATTTGATGAATTGTTACCCTGAGAACTTTTACGAAGAGCATCAATTTTGCTTCTGGTGTAAATCGAGATATATGTGAATATTCGTAACTGTTACCAATTTGTTTTTTCACTCGCTTATTTCTTTTTAATTTGTTTTTTTTACATATCTGTCCTTGGAAGTATAAGTTTAGCAGATATGTCAGTGGTTTTGGTAATCACGTTCTGTGGGAAAAAAAGAGTACTTCTGAAAGTAATGTTGATTAACCATCTTAACTGACCATTTAGTAAGTTGGACCAAGACCGCAGCTGACTTCTGCACACTCCTGACATTTACACGCAGTAGTGAGTTTTCTCTGGCAAAACACTTTACTCTTTTCCCGCATGCATGGTGGAAAATAAATCCCCTAACTCTGCTATTATTATTATGAGTCATTATTGAACAAATCAAGTGAAATTCTCCATTTTATTTAAAGCAACAGAGTCAATGCCGAGTATGAATCCAAGTGCAGGAAGAACGTGATTGGACGTCACACACCGCACACGTGCTCTCCTAGTCACGTAGTCAGGTTCACGTTAGAGATGCTAACAGAGGTCACGGTCGAAACAGTTACATGAGATCCACAAAGAATACTGAATTCACTGAGTCGATACTGTCCCATCACTCAAACCTGGTTTTTACCCAATTTTTAAGGAGTTCAACAATTCCATTTACCTGACTGTCCTTAAGTGAAAGATATTAAGAATCACTAAAACTAGCTCCAAAGAGGCCATATGAAAGGAAAAGGGAAAATAAACGTTTTGGAGAAGTCTCACATTGAGTTGCTGCCCCCGGAGTAATTTATACTTGATGTTGGGGTGGTTCTCAGCCATTCCTTCAAAATGAACGGTCTTACTCTACTTAATGGTGGAATAAAAATAAACTGCAGGTAAGTACTTAAAACTTTTCTCACAAACACAGGTATCTCATTAACCTATGTTTTATTTTGAGTCAATTCATTATTCATCATTTCACATTATAAAAAGTAACCACACGCGCGTATGCATTCACAAATTAGATCATCTTTATCATACATCAATGTATTTTAAAAAACAAATATTTTCTAATATCAATAGAGTTAGATGCTGATTGCATTTTGAAATAGGGAAGCTGACAATAGCTTCATACAGTAGATCTCAAGAACTGACATTTTAAAATTAAGAATTGTGTATGTTCCACAGGCAAATTTTGATGGGAATATTAGCATCAGTACAAATGAATGCTGTTGACGTAGCTTAAGCATGATAGCTTAGAATAACAGCTGATTCAAACTAGGTTCATCATTTTAAATTCAGTAAGGACAAGTACAATCTAAAGTGTAAACAAAGTATTTATAAAATAAATTCTTCTAGGAAATGAAATCATCAATCTATTATTCTTAAGGTAGTTGTACCTAAAGTTTCCAGAAATCTTTGTAGAATTTTCAATGCCAAATGGAAATCTCAGAACGTCCAGGAACAACACCGTCGCCACCACCGTGGGACCGATAAAATCGCGGCCAGCTGCTCATACCCTTTCCAGTGTGACTTTTCAATTGGGCCTGGAGATTTGTGAGAAAATGCAGTGCCTCTCTTACTCCCAAGGCCCCTTCAAGTGATCAGCTAAAGCAATTTCAGTCGATCTGGACTTTCATAGAATGTTTGAATGCTAAAACCCTAGAACAACTAAACAGCTGCTTTCCTGCACAGATGAACGCAGACTGGTCTCCTCTCTAGCAGTGCTTAAAGCGGACACCTAAAGTTGGTTTTCGTTGCACTTCACTATGACATTGGAATTCTGTAACCACATTATTACTCAAGAAATACATATTATACCACCTAGGGAATCTAATTTCAAATACGGAAAGTTTATCAACATCAGCTGCCATTATGGGTCTCTTCTCCATTCATCAACCAAAA